ATAGCCTATTACAAATATATCCATCACGTTTTCTGCGTTCCTCGCGAAATCGCTCGAAGTCCACGCATTTTCGTGTGAATGGGTTCAATCCGCGTAGCGCGAGGCTGAGCAGTGGAAAACCCGAAACTCCGTTGCCGTTGGGATCGTTGCCGGGCTTTATTTCCCTGTGCAATTCCGTGTCAAGCTTGCTTACGGAGAGAACCTGCGTAATTTTACCAGGGTTTTTCCATGATTCCATTCACACAACGTTGTTGTTGTTCACCCGCTCTGACGAACTGCGAAAGTCTAGTTGCCTCGACGATCGCTGTTTCTTGGAAAATTCAGCCGGGTTACCGACGAAGCTATCGTTACATTTTATCCGTTGTCTGGCGTCGGGTTATTATGTGTTCCAAGAAAAGGCAGCTTCTCGCTATTTTGGTGGATTTTCTCTCCAACGAAATTCCAGGGACCACAAAAAAAATCGTTGTAGAGAATCCCTGTAACCTGATGGGCGCAGAATGGGATCACAAAAAAATCGCTATTGAAAAAAGTCGTTGTGGAGAAAGTTCTTTGTTATTAGTTCGTGTAAAGACCGTTTTTTGTGCGTTGAAACGATTTTGAGGCCCCGGAGAAATTTGAAAAATAACCACGAGTTCTTTTGAAAATCGTGAAGTATTCTTTGTTTTTCATCTCATGGAAAAATTGCGTTGTCTCAGAATAAACCGCTTCGGTCCGATAAATTTTTCTCGCTGGCATTTTCTCCCATAAAACATATCTGATCGTCTCCGCCGGGGTTTTTCTCGAGGCGCCGGATTCGGCTGTTATGTACTTGCTAGATTGAATACGATTCAGCTTCCGAGGAGCGGTGTTTTTAAGCATTGTCGGGAAGAAGTCGGGATTGTCTTCGGGTTTTCGGTGGATAAATATTCCTGTGCGTCTTGTGGTGGCTTTTTTTCCCCCAACGAAACCGTTCGTAGCCAAGCCTGGAGTCTGGCGACGGCGCTTCATACCGCGGCCCGTAGCGAAAGCTGGGTTTCGTGAGGAAACCTCACAGAAATGTCCGGGTTTTTCTCGGTATCCGTTCCCGCGAACGTACGGGTAGTTCGAGGGTTTTTGTCGTCTTCTGAACGAAGTCTCGGAATTTAATGTCGCGAATTTGTGCTGTGACATTGTTCAAAAATTTATTTTTAAAATATGCGCGTATGGACATGTATGGAGAATGAATAATGGTTCCAGTTTTTAGGCCCTCAATAACCACCCAGTGCGGGAAATTCTTAAAAATTATGTCTCAGTCCAAGGCCACAGATAAACGAAACAAGAAAAGGAGAGATTTAATTCAGGCTTTCGTTGTGTTAGTTCAATACCCGGTTGAAAAATTTTGGTGGGATGGAACAAATTGATCTAATTCAGGAGGCATTCCAAGAAGCTTCTGTTCCGTTTGATTTTTGGCGAAAAGTAAATGTATATTATTCCCTTCTCACATCTTTTCTTTTCGCCGTTGTGTTTTGAAAGCTAGGCAACGTTAGACTGACACGCTACGGCTTTAAACTTAAACTACCGGTATATAACAAGAGTAAATTGTCTTAGAAGGTTTGCATACCGTATATGGAATGTATTTTCATCCCCTCCCTGTCATGATGAGAAGAGAACTTGATTATTTAACCTTTATCGGGTTCTACCCTAACTGCATTCTACCCCACGGGTATTGAATTAAATTGAGACCCCCACATGCGGACGCCTCGAACCTGCGGACAATTCAACATAGGGACACTTATTTTCCCAGGAAAAATCAATAAATAAGGCCCGACATGGGGACACTGACTTGACATAGGGACATTTTGTGATAAAATTGCAAATACATTTCAGGCCAAATTACAAGAAACAGATATTTCCAACCCTAAAATTTATGTAAGAAAAGTTCTTGGGCATTTCTCTCACCAAATTACCATCCATTTAGCTAATTAAAAAAAATTACCTCCAGCATAGAGGGACTTCTACTTTTTTTCACTTGAATGTTATTTTTCTAGATGCCAACATTTATATGTACAGCAGTACAGAGATACACTATTCAATGCTCCAAATGTTCTTATTGACGAGTTGAAAATGTATTCCCTAAATCAAATTCAAGTGGCAGACAATTTTTTTCAGGGAATTCTGAAGAATATTTCTTCCAGAAAACACCAATTAAAAATTATATAATGTAAGTCTATGGATGGGAAAACAAGACTCAACTGAGGGACATTTTGACTTGGGGACACTCTTGATGCACCAATTACGTTCGCATCTCGGGGTCTCACTGTACTTTATTGAGATACATTTGATTTTATGAGATTAAAAGAAAGTCTGCATTTTATTCCGGAATAGGAAATTCCGCCATTTTCATCAAAAGCTTCATAAACATGTACAGTACTGTACTGTACTTTCGTGTGTTAACTTTTCTGTTTGTCGTTTCCACCCCCTTCGCAGAAAACAAAGGAAGCCTCTCAGCATTCCATCAACAAGCAGCAGCAACTCGACAAGGAAAAGGGTCCTCGGACGAACCTGGCGGCCCGACAGCGGGAAAAGGAAGCGGAAGTCCAGCGCCAACTTCATTTCCGGGACAAGGAAATCTTCTGTTTGAAGGAACGTTTGCGAGACGTTTCCCGTCGTCTGGCACTCAAAGACGTGTACCAACCCGCAGCACCCAAGCTCAAGGAGAAAATAGCCACGATTCGCGAGCTGGAGTCCATCATCGTGTTGACTGCCAAGGAGCGGATGGAGTTGGAGCGACAGCTAGCGGTCACCACTGAGGTTAGTCATCGATTGCCATATAGTGCACCAATAATTGAGCCCTACGGTATATACGGACTGTCGCTTGTGATTTGAGTGGATCCCCACACAAAAAAAAACCTGCTATTTGACCTCATTTAAATCAAACCTGAAGGGAGTAGAAACAAATTGAGTTAAAAAAACAAAAATTTTGGCCCATTGTACTACAGTAGAATCTCTTTCCAACGAATCTCATTTTAACGAATTAATGCTTACAACAATTTATTTAATTCTTCATATTCGATAGCCACAATTGTCATCTTAATTTCGATTGAACGAATTTTTGTTTATAACAAAGCCTTTTTAAGGCCCCGAACGCTTCGATGTAACGAGATTCGACTGTACTGTATATGCAAACATTTTATGATGAGGATTTTACTGTTGTTGGGATAGTTATTTGTTATGCGACAACCCACGGTATTTTTCTCCAACATCATTCTATGAGATGGGGTCAGAAGAAAATTCAGGCATGAAATGACTTCCCCATAAAAAAATTCTTAAATCCTTTGGGTCGAATTCTAAAGGACTCAAAAAAATCTTACCCTTGCGGAGGATTTTTGTAGGATGATCAATTATTTTAAAAAGCTATTTTTAAATTTTTCGGCTCTTTGTACAACATGTGTATAGAAAATTTGAGATGCGGATGTTGTTGTTTTTGTGCGAATCATTTTTTATGTGGCAACCCACGGTATTTTCCTTCAAAATTATGCTATGGGAATAGGACTAGAAGAAAATCCATGCATGAAATAAATTTCCAAGAAAAATTTTTCATTCCTAGGAGTCGAATTTGAAGATGCTCAAAAAATTAACTTATGCGAGCTTTTTGAGCTGCGGAATCGAAAAAATTAAAATGCCATAATTTATTTTTGTTCCTTATCCTCTACAAAAAATACAATGGGATGCCGCATAAAAAATGACTCGCCTAACAACAACGACAGATTTTGTCGTTGTTGTTAGGCGAGTCATTTTTAATGTGGCAACTCATGGTACAGTATTTTCCTTCAACATCATGCTATGGGATGGGTTCAGAAGAAAATCCAGGCATGAAATAAATTTCCGAGAGAAAATTCTTCAATTCTTGGGTAATACTTTTTTTTGTGAATGAATCGTTTTTCGTTTGACTGCAAGAAAAAAAGTTAATTCTGAATGCAGGTATATTTCAGGTTAAAAAAAGGTGAAATATATGCCTATTTTCCCGTTTCTCTCTCTCACAATTTCAAAATCAGCCGAGTCCGTAAAAAAAAAAATCTAAATCACTCCTTATTATACCCATGTTAATCCCATGGATTTTCGTCCATTCCGCGAGAAAACTCCTCTTAGTAATTCGAAATGTTCGCTGTGTGAGTCGTTCGTTCTGCAAGAAACCCTTGGATGTCATTTTCTCCGCCAAAAACCCAAAAGCGAAAGCTGGAAAATCCTCGGAAAACCTTTCTTACAAGATTACCACTGAATTATGGGTCATCAGATTAAGGAAAATATTCTGTTTTATTCATCAGCCCTATTTTTCACCCCAGTGAAAATTTTTATCGAATAAAATCGAATCGAAGAGGGTAAAATTTTCCGGGGGGGATGAACTAGGGCACTGGGTTCCTATACGTATATACGCCTGCAACGATGAATAATGCATCCGAAAGTCGTAAAATGCCTATCCCATGATCATGCCGGACGTGGGTCACAGGAAAAGGTCAGCTGAGGAATAAAAATAAAAAACGAAACAAAAATTGAGAAAACGTGAAGAAATTAAAATATGCATGTGAATGCGAGTCTATATAGCGCCTCATTCTGTGAAAATTATTGGGGTTAAATTCCGAGGTGAAAGGCTCGGAATTTGTACCGACACTTCTTACGTCGACAGTCTCAAAAATAATCTTTTGTCAAAATTATTTTCTTTCCTTTCATCCGAACAATATAAAAAAATGTTAAGCTCTTTTTTAAAAATAATTTATTAATCAGCAATAATGCGTAAGAAATGTAAAGTGTGTTTTTTTAAGAACTGGAAAACTACTTGACGTTCTTTCTCAAATTATGATTTCACTTTGACTTCCATTGAAATTTATGCTGAATTTTTCCAAACTTTTATTTTAAAAAATTCTCGTGGAGCCAAGGCTGAAAGTATAAAAATATTTCTCCCCTGAGCCAAAAAATAGAAATACATTGAAATATATTTTTTTAGAATATTTCAATCAATCTGCAATAAATCGTGACAAATGTAAAGTTCATTTGGCCAGGAGTCGAAAAGTACTTGACGTTCTTTCTCAAATTATAATTTCACTCTGACTTCCATTGGAATTTATGCTGAATTTTTCCACGCTTTTATTAAAAAAATCATCGTGTAGCCAAGGCTGAAAGTATCAAAATATTTCTTTCCCCAGCCAAACAAGAGGAATAAATTGAAATATATTTTTTTAGAATTGTTCAATCAATCAGCAATAAATTGTGACAAATGTAAAGTTAATTTTGCCAGGATTCAAAAATTACGTGAATTTCTTTTTTAAATTATCACTTCACTTCGACTTCCAATAAAATGGCTGCTGAATTTTTCTATGCGTTTATTTAAAAATTTCTTGTGGAGCCAAAGCTGAAATGTATCAAAATGTTTTTTTTCCTCAGCCAAACGAAAGAAACAAATTAGAAGGTTTTTCTTTAAAATTTTCCATCAGCAATAAATTGAAACAAATGTAAAGTTTATTTTACCAGAACTTGAAAAGTTCCTCAAGTTCTTTTTTAAATTATCGCATAACTTTGACTTTCATTGATTGGATTGGCTGCTGAATTTTTCCTCGCGTTTATTAAAACATTTTTCGTGGAGCCAAGATGACTGGAAAATATCAAAACATTTTTTCCCTCAGCCAAGCACGAGAAAATTTGATGAAATTCTTTTTTTAAATTAATCATTTTGTCTTTATCCACGTTTTCTGTTGGCCTGGTTCTGTGAGTTCGTTTTCGATAAGTGGGACTCGTATAAACTGAAGCCAGTGTGCAACAGATGCTATACACAATGACCAGAATTCATTGGAATTGATTATCTGGTGTGATTCATGTCTTCTGGACACCCTGGGTCCGTTGTAAAAAAAAGAGAAAAAAACGAGAATCGGACGGCATATCGATTCACTGGACCCGAAATTTTGTGAAAGGGACTCCGGAAAGATACAAATCTTCACATAATGCTAGAAAAATAATGAAATGATGTAGATTTACAAATTAAATCAATACCTTCGAAGAATCTCGTTTACCGCTTGAAAAAAAAGCCGGCTCATATTTTTGCATGCATTAAATTCTGCAACTTCTGGAATATTATTATTTTTTTTAATTCTGCGCATATTTTAAAATTTTTTTTCCTCGAGCATTGATAATTTATTCTGCTTGATCTTGGACAAAAAACCCGCGCATTCAGTTTTGGCCTCTTCGAATCGTTTTTAATTGCTTCAAAAGCGCCTGAAATATATTCTAAAATTTTTAAAATAGTTATTTCAGTTACACTACGTCTAGTTATGCATACAATGAAACGTTGATACAAGATGAAAGGCATAAAAGCATTGATTTCGGCCTTTATCCTGACTGACGTTACTCACGTCAGAGTGAATCTGATTTTCCAATTATATATTTTTTTTAACCCTTACGCTTAGTTTTCGACATTTTTCTGAGGAATTATTGTCGGTTATTGTACTGTTTTTTTATGAAAAGTTTAATTGTAATTTTCAGGTTAACCTCTGCGATTAATTTTTTGATAAAAATGTGGAAACAATCAGCAGCCTACCTCATAGAAGTCAATGTCACAAAAATAAATGGCAGTATTTAATTTGTCACACAAAATTAAAGAACCCAAATTCTAAGTAGAATCTTCTTTCATTTCATCTCTGTGAGAATCTCAGAAGACCTTGGTTCTAAAGTTTCTTTCTGAGCCTCCAAGGCTACATTTTATTGCTGAACTCCTGTTGCTGTTTTTTGTCCTTGAAGGACAGCTTTCCTGTTTTCCAAATTGGCAAGAGAAACTTCACTTCCATTCAAGCTCTTGTGCAATTCACTCGACAATTTACGCGTGAAACCCAATTTGTGTGTGATTTGAATATTTTTGTAGAATAACAACTTTAAAATAGGGTGAATTTTGCAGCCCAACCAAATTCTGTCGTTTCATTTGCATAAATGAACTGAAATTTAACCCTTTTTCCTCAACATCTATATTTGTTGAGGATTTATTCCTGACAGTCACATTTATATAATAATTTGAAGGAAAACATTGGGAAATTTTTCAAATTCTAACAAAAAACAACTGCGAATGTGTTCTGCGTGGTATTGCATCTCGGGGGAAAAAATTTCGCAATTATTTTCGATTCTCAGGTCACCCGATTCATGCGTGGGGAAGCTGGACAGGTTGTGTACCGCAATATGTACTTTTCAGCCAACGCTACTGGTACCCACGCAGTACTTGAAGCATTCATTTTGTTCTGTTTCTTGGACGAATGAAAATTTTACGGACGAAAATACATACGAAATAGTGAAGCAGAATGGAATTCTGTTGGCGGATAATTCGTAAAAGAAAAATTGAGAGCAAGAGAGAGAAAAGAGCCTTCCCGGGGCAGAAAATGCCACGGGTTCTGGGTGTAGACGTAAGTGGGTTTCGCAATCGGGGAATGATCCACGTGGGCAACGTGGATATCGGGTACTGCATCAGAGATTTGGATCTCATATATATATTTTTATTTTCTTCTTATGGGGATGTGATGTAAGCCTTGAGGGGGATTCTCCGGCAATTCATGCCCAACTCGAAATACCATTCGATCTGAGTCTGAATCTGTTGAAGTTTTGTGTCATATTGGGTACAGATGTCACCGCAATATAAATTGATGTTGAGTGTTGTTGGGCAAACAAGAACTCGGGTTCCAGGAGGAAACTATAGTGAAGGTTTCCACTGGTTTCAAGAGGAAGCCAGTGAAGGTTAAAACTTGCATGAAGTAGTTCAGCATTATTTTCTCATTACACTCACATTTTATTCTGATGAATTATCATTATCATTATCCCATTATATTCTTAATCCAATTTGTGCACAAATTGGGTATTGTGTTTTCTTGCATTTAATTCCTGACTTGTGATTTTAAAAATGCATGAAAAATAAAGTTCAAAACTAGGAACACATATTCAAGGTCCTCTTGAATATGTTTTCAGGGCCTAAAACGCTGATTGCCCTGCCTTATCAATTTTCCACTGCGCTGTGATTCAATCTTTATGTTGAATGTCCTCAACAAGTTTTGCAATAAAGCACAACAATAAGTCTGGGACAGGACCAGGAATTCCTTTTTGGAATTCATTAGTTAGCAGGATAAGTGTATTTGACAAAGTTAATTGATGAACAACTCAGCAAACGTTTCTCACAGCTGAGATAAATTTGGTTAATGAATAACTCAACTCATAACTACTGCTGTTAGTCTGATTAAACATGAGCAGCTTATATGCTCAGAGATATGTAGCCTTTATTGGTTTCTACTTTGCATGACACAAAAGACCTTTAATAGGTCAAGAATCTAGAGTCAAAGATGCTACAGTGCCAGGAAGTACCTGGCACTGCGATTTTGAGGAGGGGGAAATGATTTCTAGGAATATATATCCAATTATTAATGCATTGTCACCAAGTAATATTCTGGTTTGTCCCTCCTCACACTGATAATACTGCCTTTCATGTTTGATGTTCTGGAACATCAAGTAATCCTGCATAGCAACTTGTTGCTCCAAAGCAGACAAGGTCATTGTGCACGCAATACACTGTCTGGTTTGCAGTCATTTCCCTTGTCCCCTTTCACGGCATCCCCATTTTGGTTGCGCAGTTGCATCTGGTTCTTCTTGAGTCTATAAAGGTACCTCAAAGTGTATATATAGACATACAGTCAACCCTGTCTAACAGACTTGATTCGTGCAAGGGATGAGTTTGTTAGGCAAAAAGTCCTTTACACAAATTCAATTACATAAAAATTAAAAATTTCAATTTTCAACACTAATTTTAAACCAAAAGAAGTCTGTTTGGCGGATTTTGTCTGTTGGGCGGGAGGAAAAACTGCTTGCAGAGCTGGTCTGTTTGGCAAAAATCCCTTACACGGGAGGTCTGTTAGGCGGGGGGCCACTGTATATTGTTGGTCTGGTGTTGGTTGAGGTTATATTGAAATACACGTATTACGCTCTACAACCAGAAGTCTTTTCACTTCTGAACCCCAGCCATAAGAATGGAATCTTCTTATAAAAAAAGGTTATTCTAGAGAGACTATGTACTCAAGATTAATTACTCTCTGGGGAGAGATGTTTCCCCATAGACAAAAGTGTCTTCTGTTAATTCTCTCAAGGAAATTAGGATAACAGCATGGTGTGCTTGCCCAACATGTCACACCCACTGTAACAACATTTCATGTGTATAGGACATGTGGTAAGCGTTGAAATTTTCATTTGTACCACAACTTGAGATTCAATCAACCGAGTTTTTGTAAAAAGATCAGTTTCAGTTGAGGATTGATAAATTCAGAATTTGTTTTCAAGCAGAAATCATCTCGGTTGGTTTCTGAATTAACCGGTTAATGCTTTTAAGGAACTGGAAACTAATATTGCTCGTTTCACAAGATTCATAGCTTTATTTTTAGATAAAAACCAGCCAGATTCTTTTCCCAAGAAATGCCCAATTCCATGAGTGAACCAATAGGCTGCATTATTTTCAAGGCTTATTTTAAGAAATTCAGTTTACCTTTTTTTTTAAATACAGTAGAACATTGGAATACTGGGATATCCAGGTTTGAGTCCACCGACTTTATACACAAGAAGTTAACAATCGGAATATAATCAGTTGGATTTGAAAACGGTTTGAAAATTCCTCTAAGAAAAAACAGAAAGCTTTGAAATCCGGTTTGCAGAAGACTACGCATCTGAATCTTGGTTGGGGGTATGCGACTCATTCGAAAAAAGACAAGGTTATCGTGAAAAAAAAGTACCCACAAGAATGGTACCAAGTCAAGGAGTCCCTGGTTTTTTTTGGTCAGCTCGAATTATCTTCAAAACAAGGTGAGGTGACTATATAGGCTTGGTTGACTTATAATTTAGATCAAATTATGCTATGCCTATTTTTGGTTTGGCCACTTCAGGTCAGATTTTAAAAGGTCAGACCGAATTGGGTAAATTTATGGTAGGTTAAGTTAAATAATCTGTATTAGGTTGTGATGCACCAAAATGACTCATCATGAGTCAAAATTAATTGTTTATAGAGCAAGTTGTGAGTTCAAGTTGAAACATGTTGGGTTGAGTTGGAATAGATTGGACTGAATTGAAGTAAGTTAATTTATGTCACACTACTTTAGGTTAGGGTAAGTCACAATCTTCCAGGTCGTGGTAAATCATAATTTTTCAAGCCAGGTTGGGAGGAAATTGTTTCATTTATTCATTGGAAATATGCTTGGTTGAGTTGGTTTCGGTTAGGATTATTTAAAAACGGTAAACTTGCTAATAATTTAAAACAAGCTAGGATATGTTTTTGGTCATAGGCTAAGATTAAGTTTGGTCAAATATTTTGCATTGGATTTGGTAAAATTTATTTAGAATGACTTCAATCACATATTTTAGTTCAAGTTCAGTCACAATATTTCAGGTGGGGTTGAGTTGAAATCAGTTAGACCAGGTCTCAATGGTTATAAGTTTAAGTTACAACTGGTTTGTCATATATTCATGTTGATTTAATATTAATTTTAAAAATAACTTTTCTTGTGTGACTTTGCTCTTCTTATGCTTGCTCTTTTGGTAATCTGGTCTTTTGGGTTTATTTTTATAATTTACGTAGGCGATCTCTGTTTCGAGTATTCCGTGGGAGAAAATCTTCCATCATATATATACTTGTTCGTTTCGTGTTGTTGTTGTTGTACATATTTTTGTTCGTTTTCTGAGCTCTCAAAAAAGAAATCCCCCTCAGGCGCAGGTGCCGGGGTTGGTCATCTCGGGTTCCACATACCGCTTGACCAGTCTTCCCTTTTTGGGTTGGATTGGGCGGAAATTGTTTTGCATCAGCTCCGTGGCGTCGTGTAAAAGGTCCCGGAAGGCTCCGAGCTGAAATTTCGAAACAAATACTTTGTGTATAAGGCTATTAAAAAAAGCAAACAAAACAATGTCACTGAATCCGAGCCATGTCAACTCAAATTCTTGCTTTTGTCGCTTTCGGTTTCAAATATTCGCATTTTTTTCTCGGGCTCATCCCTCGCGTAATGAACAATTTTATTTGAAAAAGTTTAAATGTTTCGTCGAAGAGGGATTTTTTTTTTTTGTTTCGCAATGAACTCGACCTTTTAGTGGTTTTTCCTTTTTTATGCGTACGTTGATGCTGTATGATTTGATTGGTATATAATGTTTTATTTTAAAAATTAAGTCTCTAAAGGTAAATTTTGCCTCAGAAACAATATATGTGATATGTTTTTGGACGACAAAAAAAATCGATTTCATGCCGCAGATTTGATCGATTTAATAGAGCCCATGGTGTGATAACTTGGGTTGTTTCAGATTTATTATGCCAGCATTTCGAAAATTGCCCCCAATTTTTATTTACATGCATTTAAAGAAGCAATTCTGAATCCGAATGTTCTGCTTTCAAAAGTGTAAAAAAATTCTACTCGAAATTATAAGTCAGGAGATTAAGAAAATAAAAAGAATGTTTTTCGAACTGGAGCTAGTCATTTAAAATGTTGTCTTATTCTCCAGGTAAAATATTTTTTTATGATTTCATAATATTCTGAGATTACATTATATGTGGAAAAATTAATCTCTTATTCAAGAAATAAATATTCTCTTTTCATATTAATATGCAAAATACTGTATCAGTGATGGAGATTTTTCAACGTCCTTGAATTTTTATCCCCCAGGGGTTTCGATTTGTAACCTGGCTACAAGTTTCTTCAACAGCGCAGTTGTAATAAGTTAATCATGTGGAAAATAGAGTTTTTTTTGTAATTTCCTGACGGTCAATTTTTCTTAGCTTTTCAGAAATTTCCTAACGACTCGAGCCTTGACCAATATTGTGTGAGGAAACTATGTCGAAAACAATTTTTTAAATGATTATTCCGCCGGGTTTGCCGAGCGATGCGAATTTTGTGCTAAAATTGGCACTGTATAGACGAACCTGTGTCTCAGAAATGGGCATGGGTTCCTTGAACACGGTCCATGCGACAACTTCGTTGCAAGGTGGGGTCGTGAGGCTTCCGTAGTACCTGTAGAACCCAGCGGTGGACACCGGAAGCAGGGTTCGGATCGGGAACGGGGTCAGCGTTTTGCTTTGACCCGGGGTCTTGATCTCCTTCAGAGCGTCGATGATCGGGGTCATCATTGGGTTGTCGTTCTCAGAAAGCTGCAAAAAGCGGTTAATTTAATTCTTGATACAGTAGTAATGATAAATGTCAAATATAGAATCGGGTTTTGTCAGAATAAAAAAAAATAAAGTAAAACGACAGGCACACGTTATTGTTTTTTTTAGCAGGTTTTAACGCGTGTTTCTGTCGAAAGAATAATAGAGAAATTTTCTCTGGTTTGGATTATATCTGAAAATATGCTCTCCTATGTTTAATTCGCGAAAAAAGAGAAACTCAAATTAAAATATGTCTATGAGAAAATATCTAAGAACTATTTGTTCGCATTCATGGAGATGTTTTGAAAATACGATGAAAATGGAATTGAATGATTTCATTTCAACTTTTTTTCTTCCTATAAATTGTAAAATTGCGTTACAATGTGTTTACAGTATACAATGAAGTAATTTTAAATTGAATCATATTTTCGGTTCGATTCGAGAATGTGAACGTTCAGATTTTTTATTTACATAGGACAACAATTGTTGGCAATGTCTTCCCCATTTTGATTGCATCGCAAAATTCTCTTATCCGATATCGAGACTTGGTAAAAAATGCATGTTCTTTAGAATAAATTTTCAAAATAATTTTTTCACCGATTCAAAAAAATCGTTTGAGTAAAAAATTGTCACTTTTTTGTTTTTTTTCTTCTTGAAAATGACAAGGAATAATTTTTCGTTTCGACTCCCAATATCTGTAAAATTTTTCAATGCTATTTAAGAAATGTCAGAACACGCTGTTTCTAAAGCTTTTTCGGAGGTTGATGAGTGTGCGTGTCGATTCACAAATTCAAAAAAAAAATTTTCGTTTGAATATTTTCGATTTACCTCGAAAAGAACACCGAGAACTGCCAAAGCGCTGGAATCTTTGCTGGCTTTTGCAGCATCAACGCTGGTGTACGTGGCTTTCTTGTGAACCAAGTGCATTTCCAAGACGTACCTGTATATTATAAAAAAAATAATAAAAATGTGAAGAGAAAATACATTTTCAAAATACTGTATACATTTTTGACAGTAAGAAATTTTTTTTTCGAAAATAGGGACATACGGGATCCTTGTATGTGGAAAATCGAAAATTCACTGGAAGCATTACATCAGATTTATTACGAATCTTGAAATTTCTAGAATAAAAATTTGAACAGTATATTGCGGTTTTCTATCTCTCTTGAAATGTGTAGCTCTAAGGGCCAAACTCCTTGAACGGTCCAGGAAAAAAACAGCTGAGTCATTAAAAAAAAAACTGCGAATTCTTGAAATTCCGCCGAGTGAAAACCAGAGCTTTTTCGATATTTTCTGACTTTTCTTTCTGAATGCTGCGGACTTTGAAAGCCTAATTCCAGAACCCTTCATTACTGACTACTAATCCAAAAGAAAAATGATCATTGGAAAAGATACTTGGAAAAAAATGGTGTCATAGCACAGTTAAATAAGGAAATCATATTTGGGAAAAATTGTATTATTAAAGCACATATGTATGATCATGAGGGAGTTCGGACGATTTTTTCAAACTTGAGCATTTATTTTCTCCACCTTAGCCTGGTTAATTGTTTTCGCATGGGTTAGTTGTTTCTTGGAAATTAATTTGGATTTTTGTTTGTTTTCGATATTGAAGCAGTAAATTGAGTGATTTCTTACGGTTTCCCGTTGATGGTGTGTTCTGAGCCGTGGCCGTTGCTGCTGCCCCAATGGAAATGACCGTCCACATAAACGTACTCACTTCCAAGACCTCCTCCGATGAATTTTATGCCAGTGTCCGGAGTCGTGAGGTGAACTACGGAAAATAATTTAAATCCCGAGTCGTTATAAATATAAATATTTCGAAAGCACATACATTCCCATTTTATTCACATTCCCACTGCAACCTCAGGCAATACGAATGCTTCGAAAATAGCTTTTTTTTGGGGAACACAAACGAGATCAATCTCAAGGGTTGGAACTCGGAAAAGCCAAGAAATATTTCATGCAAACTCGATATATTGAAGTGCTTGGGTCAGATGAGATTTCAGCAGTCGATTTTGACATGAGTTTTCCTTTTTTTATGAATATGCAATTTTTTGAAGTACATTTTTCTGTATGAGAGGGCGATTTGCCGGGTGATGTAATTTTAATTCGATCAAGAAAATCATCGCCGAATTATAGGATTTATTCCGAGTTTAAAATTAAGAAAAATAATCGTGGGATGATGAGCTTTGAGATCAATTTCGAATAATGTACTTGAAGAAATTTCAAAGCTGGAAACAAATAATGAAGGCATTTTATCTTTCGAAAATATTGTTCGCAATCAATTTATAGAAATTAAATACTGTATTTCTTCAGAAAAATAACGAGATTCAAGGTGAAATATTGCCCAGAAAAATCGCTGGTAATTGAATTAACGATGAGATATACTTCGAAAATATCGTAAGCTTGAAAGTTCATTAATTATCGTGAATTTAACTGTAAAATCACGTCAGCAGAACATCTTTTGAGATTAAAACTTAAAAATATATACCAGTTTTAAATTCCCAAGAACTGTTTCCGCCAAGCCCAAAAAATAGAGACGCGAGAAATCAAAAGGTTTCAAAAATATTTCCAGACATTTAAAATTTAAAAAAAATGATGTTCCTGCCACAGCAAAAAATTCATCAACTTTCTTGATAATTTATGTGCCTTTTTCTTCTTGAAATAATGTTGGCCTGGCGTCTGAGTCATCATATCGCAGCAGATGATGGAAAGGAGTACAGAAAGTTATGAAGTACTGCTTCTCCTGTCGGGATTTAATGATGTTATTACTGCCTAATGAACCGGGCTAATTTCGACAGAAGAAACAAGCGGAAACGTTTCCGTTGCGTAACTTTCCGCGTCGCGTACATAACGACACGCGAGGCTTCAATAAAATATGGATATCCAGCGATGGGGAAAGAAAAAGCATGACCAAACGAGAAAAAAAAATGAAATAGAATGATAAAGGAATACATTTTCCTTCCCTCCTGCTGGATATAGTTGATTTTTGGAATTACCACATCAACGCCTGCGAGGTGAAATGATCATGAAAGCCCGGTTTTTTTTCTGAGCTTTCAACGTTTACCTAGTTTCCGTGTTGCTTTAGGGGTTGTCACGGAGAAAATTATGGACGAGAAAAGAAAAGAAAAAAGTTTATGAATCTCGTATTTCCTGTTTACTTTTGCTCGCGGCTGAAATATTTCGCCGTATCATAGGAAATTAGGATCCCGGATAATTTAATTTCATTCTCATAAACCGAGTTTCTTGAGTTCGATTTGCGGTTTTGATGAGGATTTATTTCATCCAACGATTGATGGATACTCTGAAGAAATCATGCCGTTTTCAGTTTTCCTTGATATTTGCTGTAATTTTTTTCCTTCGAATTATACGAGAATTCTAGCGGAAATTGAGTTCTTCACTCGAACGTAAAATGAAATGCATTCGCATTTAGCTCATTGTATGAAAATCATTTAGTTTTTAGGCCCCATCATGATCATGCTCTGATTTAAACTTGAAGTTGTGATGTTTTCAGGTTTCCAGAGTTTGATTTTAATTTGGTGCTCCGATTTTTGTTGTTGGTTCTGATGTAAAAAAAAACTGTCTTTCTTGTGACATCAGGTTATGAAAATCTGATACGTCAGCCATACGCAACATAAACAGATCTTGGGAATTGGAAACCGGTATTTTTTTAAAAATTTCAATCTCAAAAGATGGTCTGCTGTCGTAATTTTACAGTTAAATTCACGATAATTAATGAACTTTCAAGCTTACGACATTTTCGAATTAATCACATCGTCAATTCAATTCCGAGCGATTTTTCTGGACAATATTTCACCCCGAATCTCGTTATTCTTCTGAAGAAATACAGTATTTAATTTCTATAAATTGATTGCGAACAAAATGTTCGAATGATAAAATGCCTTCATTATTTGTTTCCAGCTTTGAAATCTCGTCAAGTACATTATTCGAAATTGATCTCGAAGCTCATCATCCCACGATAATCTTCGTATATTTTTATTATTATCTTTTCTGTATTTTTCGGGCTTGGCGGAAAAAGTTCTTGGGAATTGAAAACTGGTATTTTTTAAAATTTCAATCTCAAAAGACATTTTGCTGACGTAATATTACAGTTAAATTCACGATAATTAGTGAACTTTCAAGCTTACGACATTTTCGAATTAATCACATCGTCAATTCAATTCCGAGCAATTTTTTACACTATTTCACCCCGAATCTCGTCATTTTTCTGAAAAAATAGAGTAATTAGTTTCTATAAATTGATTGCGAACAAAATTTTCGTAAGATCAGAAGCCTTCATTATTTATTTACAGCTTTGAATTTTCTTCGAGTACATTAATCTGAATTGATCTCGAAGCTCATCATCCCACGATAATCTTCGTCTTTTTTTCGATTATCTTTTCTGTATTTTTCGGGCTTGGCGGAAACAGTTTTTGGGAATTTTAAACCGTTTTTTCTTTTAAATTTCAATCTCAAAAGATATTCTGCTGACGTAATTTACATTTAAATTCACGATAATTAATGAACTTTCAAGCTTACGACAGTTTCGAATTAAATCATATCGTCAAATTCAGTAAATAGCAACATGATGGAGATGAATCCGACCTGAAAGAAAAACTGAGCAAAAAAGAGAAATATGTATTAGGCAATTGACCTGTGTGACCATCGTTGTTCATGGACATGGCAGTCGGTGCTTGGCCGTACAAGGCATTGAATTCAAACGGACTGCTGTTGATTGTCGTGCGGGTGAATTGAGTTGTGTCAATGTCGATCGGCGATTGTTTGCTGCCGCCGCAAAAGCTCGCGAAATGGGAACTCCATTCGAATGGACCCGGACCTGCGATTAATAACTTTTAAATGAATATATTGTACGATACATATATTATACGAGTATATCTATCACTCGGAAGTCTTCTCGCTATTATTTATTGAATACATTTTATGTACATACAGTACATCCCACGCATATGAGTGAAATTGGACTTTTCGATTAATTGAGACGATAAAGAAATTTCGGGGCATTTGGATTCCGGATAATATGATATAAATTGATGACTATTTTATATTTTGTTTTCGCCTACTTTTCCTGTCAATTACTGCTCTCGGGGTTTTTTATATCACGAGTCTGCTCTTTTCTCGAAATACTTCAATTATTCTTATTATTTATTAATTTGGTCGTGAAACATTCTTTTTTGCCTATTGACTGACTGTGCTTTGAAGAATTTTAAAAATTTTGGAAATTAATCGGGATTTTTTGACTGCTTTGAAGAATATTAAAAATTTCTAAGGGTGTGTACCTTTTTAATTTTCGTTTCTCTCTCACGAATATTTTTCGGATCCAATCAGATCTCCGTGGTATTCTACAATATTTATTTTGATCACAGAAAGTCGATGTGGAAATGGAACAATTCCTTATCTCTCAAAATGAGAATATTGGCAATAAAAGCGGAGAATGTTGAAGTTAGACATTGGAAATACTCAAAGAAGCTGAATCTACTTATATTGGGATATTCCTCTTCGTGAAGCGTTTATTCGAAAATATTGGAGGCGATTTTTAAAAAGATTAATTAAAAAATAAAATCGATGTCCTATTGAAAATCTACTCAAGAAAAATGAATATTCTAAACAAAATTGAACCAAGCAAGTAAGGTATTACAGCATTGGATATACAAATTGAATAATGGAGCTTCAAATAAAAATCTTTTTTTTTAATTTTAGTTGAAAGCATTCATGTATACAATAATGCATATTTAATGTAAGCCTAATTTTCGGAAATGAAAATCTGAAGTGTTTTCTGGGAATTACGTGAAACGAATTCGTGCGTATAAGGAGCTGTTCTACGTTATTAGCGTTCATCAGAATTTTTCTCTGTCGTGGGAACAGTCATTAACTACGTTGACTACAAAAAGCTGTACGTCAATTAAAAAATAATTCTGCCCATTTTCCTACTGTAACGTATAATATTGTGGTGTACAAGTTTCGAATATGAGCTGAAGTCCCACATTGCGGGACTGAGAATTTCTCATCACTCAAAATTACGTTACAAAATTTCATAATAAATATTCTACTTAATTCAGGAGAATTCACTCACCAGAGGTCACCTGTGCTTTCTTTCCGTATTCGTACGACCATCCAGAGGCATCAATCACTATGAATGAAATAAAATAAAAAAATATTCAACTTCACGACGAATTTAAAAATTCATTCGGCATAAAAAAAAATGCCGAGAAATTTTAAAATATATTCGTATTTTCGTTTTCCCTACTCTTGACTCTCGGGGTTTCGATTATCTGTTCCTACACAGAAAATTTCGGGTGTGGGAATTTGTAACATTAAAATAATCAAGAAATAATCACTTAAGTTAATAATTATAAAATACGATACAAACAGGGATTGTGTCATTCCCAATAGAAAAATCACATAAACTGAAGCTTCGTAGTTCCCATAAAAAATTGCAAGAAAAATTGCGGGGAAAAAGGATTTCATGTTGAAAATTGTCCTTTGGAACCGTGTCTTCAAAATGCTTTAAAACATTATTCGCTTTTAAACTGACGCATAAAATAATCTACTTCAAAAAAAATTCCCCCTCAGGTCAAATATTCCCTGCAATTCCAAAAACTTGTTCCCGCAACTTCCTCTTAATAAACAAACACTAAATCCAAATAAACTATTTCCCCGTGAAATGAAAGTTGTCACGAAGCCCTCGAAAAAAGTTCATACCGTAAAACATTTTAATACTCTACTGTTAAGTTGCGAGGTTAAAATTGAAAATGAAAACAAAGGCTGTCTCTTTCTGAAAAAAAACTAGAGAAAATATTAGAATATTTATTTATTTATTTCAGACATAATCTCACCTGTTGCCAGAGTAAAGAGGAGCACAGCTCCCACGGGGAAAACGCATTGATGCATGTCTCTTTTTTTTTTCCAGAAATATCGCAATGGCAGAAATATATAAACACGCGACTTTCTCTCGCTCTTTACCTGCGTGGGAAAAAGAGCAGTTTGTAGGAAAAAAAACGAAAGAAAAATGATAAGAAAGACGGAAGATAGAGAAGAGAAGAAAAAAATTAGCGCTTTCTTGGAAGAGATGGTCGAAATTGCGACCGGAAATGTACTCGAAAATTATCTCTTACTCTCCCATGATCAATTCGGGTCTTTCGAAGTCGTTTGAGCATTTTTTTTTTGTGAACAGACAAAATGAAATACGATCAAGAAAAATAACAAGCATTACCTGAAATATTAAATTGAAAAAATGAGGTATTTTTGGACCATTTAAAAATGTTTTCTGGTGTCAAAGTTATTTGATAAATCGGGCGGAAGCGATTTAAAATCCTTCAAAGAATGCATTTTTTTCGCTTCCTCGATAGTTTTGATACCTTTCTTCTATTCTCAATTCAGTCGTATATGATCCTGTTTTCAAAAACGTTCGGAAATATTTTAAAAACACTTCGTGTTCCTTATTTCGAAATCTTTTCACATTAATTTCAAAAACCCTGAAACAACTTGGATTTGTCATTACTAATGACTTGAAATTTGAAGTCTAGTCATATTAAAATCGTATCAAAGTAATTGTCAAGATTTCAAATTAACAAGCAAAATCATTCACAAATAAAAACAACTATCTCAGCCAAAAAACGAAGTCTCCTCAGTGACAAATTATTTTCGAGATGCTCCGAATTTTTCAAGCAATCCTTAATTTCAATCTGAATTACCTTTCTTGCAAAGAAAAAAACCTGTGAACATTAAACACTGATTCAGAATTGCTTCCTATGCAGGAAATAATATAAAACTTTTTGAGGGGAAAATTATCCTGAAAAGTCTGAGGAAATCACTAGATATAAACCGTTTAAAATTCATATATGTCGTATATTGTATTTTGAAAATTCGGCAGAAAATTATTTTCATTGGAAGTACGTCTATGATCTTTTTTGCCGGGATTTTTCAAAAGAATTCTAACCAATGCTGTAAATACATTTTTGGGAACGGAAATCGTAGGATTTTATCGGTTTCGAATAATCTCGGAAAGCTTTCGGAATTTTTCTACAAAAAAAATTAGCCTCTCGTTTGGAATTCAAGCTGAACAATTTTTCACTTCCGAATTCATTTTTTAGAATACTGCAAATCGTTTCACGGGAGAATGAAAGATGACTTTTCTTTACCGGAAGCGCAATTATCGCATATAAAGTTCATGCTTGAATGATAAGGGGATAAATAGGGTCGTGTTTCTCTCTTGTCACTTCTCCAGATTCGGCTGTGTTGCTGAAAGACTGGAATAAAAGATAAATAATTTCCTTCCGGCGAATAATAATTTAAGAACATGCGTTTGCGCCGGCACTGGCCGGAACAAAGCGTGTGATTTTGCGTGTGTTGAGTGGCTGAGTGGGTCTGAAGTTGTCGCCCATGAAGCCGTGTGTTCCAACCAAATCCCGCAGCACCGACATCTAGGAACGAACACGGGAAACGAAAGAAAAGTAGGGAAAAAACAGTCGCGTCAGTTAACCCACCAGGAATGTGTTTCACTCGGGGTAGCTTCCAGTATTGACAGTGGCATATCATTGCAACAAACTCTTGTGGACTCCAGAAAAAGTTTGTTGTAAAAAATAATTTGTTATAATCAGATTTTTGAAAATTCTTCAAATGAAGGAAGATTTTCTAAAAATTAAACCTGCATACTTTCAACATATTCCTTTTGTGGCTTTTTTTTCAGATACTGTACTTCTCAGCATAAAAAAAAACTAATACAGTGAAATCTTGTAACAAAAAACTTGTGGGGGACACCAGAAAAAGTTCCTTATAACAAATAATTTGTTATAAAGAGATTTTTGAAATTTTTGACTGATTTGAAGATTTTCTAAAAATTAAAACTGGATACTTTCAATAAATTCCTTCTGTAAGAGATTTTTGAAATTTTTGGCAGATTGGAAGATTTTCTGAAAATTATACCTGCATAAAATTACACATGTGAAGCATTTGATCCCTGATTTCAGAAAAGTAAGAATATTTTGTACCCTGGTTAATTACACTATTTATATGCCATGACACCTGTTATGTCAATTGACAAATGAAAATTTTCTTAATCAAACCTCACCTGATCATATTGAACTCAAAGAGCCCAACATTATCGGGCCAAGAAATGTCATGTAACAAAAAACTAAAGTTTTTTCCATAAAAAAAATCAGGTAGAGAATTTTTTCTGCAGGGTAAATATTTTTCGATTTCATTCCTTTAATCTTTCGGGATGATTTGTTATGTTGCATGATGAAATTCTGAAATGACTAGAAAAAATTACACATTCAAAGCATTCAATCCCTGATTTTCAGAGATACTGTGTATGAATTTTCTTCATTCTGGTGACATTCACGATTCATATTCCCTGAAAAGTGTCATGTCACCTTAAAAATGAAAATCCAGAATATTGTCCTCAATCTAACCCCCCCCCCCCATTTCGATAATGCATTATTCGAACAGCTCAACATAATTATACCAAGAAATGTTTCAAAATATAAAATTACTTCTGGAGGAAAAAAAATCAGACAGAGAGTGTTTCCTGCGAGGAAATCTTTCTTGATTCGACTGCGACCCATTTTTCCCAAGTAACCTTTCGGGTTCCTTGTTTTTTTGTTTCTCTCTGCTCGATGAAGTTCTGACATGACCAGCAAAATGACACATTATTTAAATAATTCAATCGCTGATTTTCGAAATGAAGTCTCGACTTTTTATGCATATTTTTTTCCGTTTTTTACGAATTTTTTTTGAAAGTTTTGGTTTTACTGCAGTTGACTTTTATACTATGCTGTAAATTTTTGCAATGAGTCCCGTACAGTATTGCCAATTAGTAGTACAGTACAGTACCTGCGCCTCAGAAATTGGCATACGGCGTTTGAGCACAGTCCAAGTGACGACTTCGCTGATTGTGGGGGACACCAGAAAAAGTTCCTTATAACAAATAATTTGTTATAAAGAGATTTTTGAAATTTTTGACTGATTTGAAGATTTTCTAAAAATTAAAACTGGATACTTTCAATAAATTCCTTCTGTGGCTTTTTTCAGATATTTCTCAGCATTAAAAAAAATGATACAGTGAAATATTGTTGCAATAAACTTGTAGAGACACCAGAAAAAGTTTTAGTAATTTGTTATAAAGGGATTTTTGAAATTTTTGACTGATCTGAAGATTTTCTAAAAATTAAAACTACATACTTTCAACATATTCATTCTGTGGCTTTTCTCAGGTATTTCTCAGCATTTTAAAAAACTGATACAGTGAAATCTTGTTACAACAAACTTGCGGGGACACCAGGAAATGTTCGTCATAACAAATAATTTCTTATAAAGAGATTTTTGAAATTTTTGGCAGATTGGAAGATTTTCTGAAAATTATACCTGCATAAAATTACACATGTGAAGCATTTGATCCCTGATTTCAGAAAAGTAAGAATATTTTGTACCCTGGTTAATTAAACTATTTATATGCCATGACACCTGTTATGTCAATTGACAAATGAAACTTTTCTTAATCAAACCTCACCTGATCATATTGAACTCAAAGAGCCCAACATTATCGGGCCAAGAAATGTCATGTAACAAAAGACTAAAGTTTTTTCCATAAAAAAAAATCAGGTAGAGAATTTTTTCTGCAGGGGAAATATTTTTCGATTCCATTCCTTTAATCTTTCGGGATGCTTTGTTATGTTGCATGAAGAAATTTTTAAATGACTCGAAAAAATTACACATTCAAAGCATTTATAATCCCTGATTTTTAGAAAAATATGAATTTTCTTCATTCTGGTGACTTTGACGATTCATATGCCTTGAAAACTGTCATGTCACCTGAAAAATGAAAATCCAGAATAATGCCCTGAATCTAACCCCCCCCTTTGATCCTGCATTATTCAAACAGCTCAATATAATCAAGAAATGTTTCAAAATATAAAATTACTTCTGGAGGGAAAAAATCAGTCAGAGAATGTTTCCTGCGAGGAAATCTTTTTTGATTCGACTGTGACCCATTTTTCCCAAGTAACCTTTCGGGTTCCTTGTTTTTTTTGTTTCTCTCTGCTCGATGAAGTTCTGACATGACCAGAAAAATGACACATTATTTAAATAATTCAATCCCTGATTTACGAAAAAAAAGTCCCGACTTTTTCTGCACATTTTTTTTCGTTTTTTACGAATTTTTTTTTTAAGTTTTGGTTTTACTGCAGTTTTAATATCTGATTTTACCATTATACTATGCTGTAAATTTTTGCAATGAGTCCCGTACAGTATTGCCAATTAGTAGTACAGTACAGTACCTGCGCCTCAGAAATTGGCATACGGCGTTTGAGCACAGTCCAAGTGACGACTTCGCTGCAGGGCGGGGTCGTCAAACTTCCGACGAATCGGTAAAAGTTGCTGGTTTCCGTGGGGAACAGTTGCAGGATCGGGAAAGCAGCTGGCAACGTGTATTCGCTGGTCAAGTCATTAGGGCCGCCTAATTTCTCCAGGGCGGCGATGAGCGGCGCCAGCAACGGGTTGTCAGTCTCGGATTCCTTGAAAAAATAAATTAAAAAAAAAAGACCAAGGGGTGTGAAGTTACACATCGGAAGGTTGTTTATTGTAAGATCATATGTTCTGAATCTTCAAAAAAAAAAACGAATTGATTGAGTGAATAATTTTCGCATTTCGAGGACGAGATTTAATTTTTTTGTGACGTCGAATATAATATCCGAATTTACTCGCATTTACTGGCATATATAAACCACATCCAGATTTTAAGCATCAATTCAAGTTCAATAATGCAAAGAAATTTGGGTACGAAGCAGTTGTAATTTTTTTTTTGGTGAAAATTGGACTAAGAAAAAAATTCCAAATATTAAAGTCTCCAATAATTTTTCGCAAGTGTAATTTTCATGATTTCTGAGAGAAAATTCGAAATGTTGACGGCGACGAAAATTATATGATGACTTATTTACCGTATTTATATTTTTTCTCTGGGCTGAAGAAAAAAAAATGCCAACGTTTCATTCGTCAAGTTTTCGTTTTGGTTTATTTTTGATGTTATTCATCAGACTTCTTTCCATGCTTTCGATCCCGATTGGTGCATGTACGAATTTCGATTTGCTGTATTTTGATTGAATCCAGGTCATAGTTATTATTTTGAATGGAAGCTGTAATCTGAATTTTCTAATCTCTAAATCTCTGAAATCCAATCGATCGGTCGCACGTTAATCTTCTTTATTTCGTCACTTCATGTACGTCGAAATTTCTGAAATCGCTTGACAGAAAAATATTTTTGAATATTTTTTATTCATTATAAGAGGTTGGATGATTTTTTGTGAATGATCAACTCAGCATTGCTGATGAATTGAAGTTAATTCGACCGCCAAAATAAGAAAAAAAAACATTTTGCGTATTTAAAAAAATGAGCTCAAGTAAATCCCACCTCAAAGTGAACAGCAATCACAGCCAAAGCAGTTGGATCTTTGCTGGCTTTGGCACTGTCCACTGTTTGGTATTCGGAACTCAGGTGAACTGCATGCATCTCCAGAGGAAATCTGAAGTTTAAAACGAAAAAAATCCACAAGGAAGCACATAATTAGTTTTTTCTTTTCTTTGAAGATGGAATCTGTTGAATTCAAATTACGATTTCCCGTTGATTGTGTTCTCTGATCCTCGATGAGGGCCTTGTCCCCAGTGGAAGTGGTAATCAGCTGCAGTGTATGTGAATGGAAGTCCTCCTCCCTTGACTGTGTGGTCACCAATGTTGGATGGCAGGAGACTAACTGAAATTTCAAAAGAATCTCTCTTGAAAAAGTGTACCAAAAAATTATTTGGATATTCATGACCTCAGTTCACAGTAAGAAATTCAAGTATTTTCCAAAAATGCACAAAGGAGCGCTTACACAAAGGAGCGCCTGCAGAAAGGAGCGCTTGCTCAAAGGAGCGCTTGCACAAATGAGCGAATGCTTGGAGGTAAAAATTATGAAAATGGAGAGTTGGAAAATTGTACATTGTGGTGAAGTTAGGTCAGATTTTAAGACTGTATCACACTTGCTCTTCTTTTGGAGACATTTTTGTATTTGTGCTTCATGGTGGCAGGTTTTTTATTGTGCTCCTGACCTGTGTATTCCTTCTCCTTTTTGGGAGAACTTTGAAGGATAACTTATTAATTTCAACTTCAATTTTTTTCAATAAAGCTAGTTCTTTTGAAGTTGTAAAGCCAACTTTGTCACACTCAATATTCTAATGGCTAAAAATTGAATTCATTATGAATAAATATTTGATTCTCAGTTTAACCCTTTTTTTAAATGTTTCATTTTAGGTGTCATTGACTTTGTTTTAACAAGATTCTATCTACAAAAGAAAGCAGGTACATTTTCTAAAACCAGAAATCTTTAATGTCTTTTTCATTCATGCTCATTTCAAAGATTTCAAGTCTTTGCTGAGAGACACTAGAAAGTGTCTCTCAGAAGAAAGTAGAGACACTAGAAAGTGTCTCTATCCACAAGTTTCTTGTTCCTGCCAAACATATTTTTATTTTAAATGTGTGTACCATATATCAAGAAGATTTTTTCCTCCTCAACCGGGTTAATGGGTTTTCCTCTCTCAGACGAAACACTGACTTCATTCAAGCAGAAACTTTTTTCCCGTGGGAAACATGTTTTGCAGACGAGTAAAGCGTTCTTGGGCCACACTTGAAAAGACGCCTGAGGGTTTCTTTGAAACGCGTGCTTCAAACAGTACCAGGTTGTTTTTATTTTATTTTGTTGTGCCTATTTCGGAAATGAGTTCAAAAATGCCGGTGCCATTTTGCTTCTCGAATGCCGTCTTCCGGATTTATTGTTCCTACAAATCACCTGAAGGGAATTAACGGGAGCCGTTTCTCATGTGAAGCAGTCTAGAAGGCAGTTCTCTGACAAATGAACCGTTGTCTCTTCTGAACTAGAACGCCGAAGTATAGCTGTAAACGGTTTAGCAAAATATTTTTTGGAGATCAGTTTAATTCGGATACTAAGTGGGTTCTGGTTACTTTATACCAGTGGGTCTGAATATTGCATCTAAATTTCAGATTTTTCAAGGCACACAATAGCTCTAAAATATCATAGAACTGGCCTAATTTTGAATTTTAAAATTAACCTGAAACCAAATTTCTCCCATCCTTTGATTTAGAAAAGAAGAAGAAGAAGAAAGTTCCAGTGGATGGAGATTGAAAAAAGGGGGTGGATTGACCATTCATCCCTGGATTATTGGGGACAGATGTTGCCTCAAAAATATAAATTGGTGTCAAGTTGGATCATAAGATAAAAGCGCGTAAATAAAAGACTTAGAGAAACTACATCATTGAGGGCACCCTTGCCTAACATAATCGAAAAAAATGAAAGCCAGCTAATTAGTGTGGCCCTTGTTGATGACTTACACTAGAACAAGTTGTGATTGTTGGCCAATAAAATACTGTATTTTAATTTTCATGTGGAAAATAATATTGCATGTTCAAGTACTTTGATTTTTTTCTTTTTTACGCGTCCAAGTATGGAAAAATGCAGTTTTGGGGTAATTTTTGCGCCTGTCCTCCAGTTTAATAATCCATCTATATTCAGACATTCCAGGCTTTAATGATTTTAAAATGAAACCTGTAGGCAAATTTCTCCTATTCTTTGATTCAAAAAAAGAAAGAAAAGAAGAAGAAGAAAGTCCCAATGGGTGGGGCTTGAAAAAAGGGGGTGGATCAACTCTTCATCCTTGGATCGGAAAAAACCAAATGAAAGCCGGCTTACAGGTGTGACCCGTGTTGACGACTTACACTATAACAAATTGTGTTTGTTTGCCAATAAAATAAAGTTTTCTTTATTTTCATGTAGACAATATTATTGCATATCTAAGTACTCTTTTTTTCTTTTTTTCGTGTCCAAGTATGAAAAAATGCAGTTTTACGGGTATTTGTTTGCGCTTGTCCCCCAGTTTAATAATCCATCTATTCACACATTCCAGGCTTGAATGATTTTAAAATTAAACCTGTAGCCAAAATTCTCCTTTCCTTTTATTAAAAAAAAAGGAAGAAAGTCCCAGTGGGTGGAGCTTGAAAAAACGGGGTGGATCAACTATTTATCCCTGGATCGGAAAAAAAATGAAAGCCGACTCACAGGTGTTAACCCTTGTTTCACAACTTACTCTATAAAAAATTGTGTTTGTTAGCCAATAAAATACTGTATTTTAATTTTCATGCGGAAAATAATATTGCATGTCTAAGTACTCTGTTTTTTCTTCTTTACATGTCCAAGTATGGAAAAATGCAGTTTAATGGAATTTATTTGCACTTGTCCCCCAGTTTAATAATCCATCTGTTCACACATTCCAGGCTTGAATGCTTTTAAAATGAACCTGTAGCCAAATTCCTCCTATCCTTTGATTAAAAAATTATATACTGTATATATAAAAGAAGAAGAAAGTCCCAGTGGGCGGGGCTTTAAAAAATGGGGTAGATCAAGTCGGTATTTTTTTTAAATTTCAATGTTCACGTGGACATTAATACTGTACTGTATTGCATGACTAAGTACTCTTTTTTTTAACATGTCCAAGTACGGAAAAAATGCAGTTTTAAGGGAATTTTTTTGCGCTTGTCCCCCAGTTTAATAATCTGTTTTTTCACACATATCAGGCTTGAATGATTTCAAAATGAAACCTGTAGCCAAATTTCTCCCATCCTTTGATTCAAAAAACGAAAGAAAAAAAGGAATAAAGTCCTAGTGGGTGGGGCTTGCAAAAAAAGGGGTGTGGATCAACTCTTTATCCCTGGATTGGAAAAAAAAATGAAAGCCGGCTTACAGGTGTGACCCTTGTTGACGACTTTCATGGTGGGCGCGGCTCTGGCGTAGGAGGAGCTAAAGATCAGGGGCGCAATCGTCACCGGTGCACCAACAAACTGAGCAGTTTGAATGTCGACCGGCGACTGGCTTTTCCCTCCGCAAGAAGTGTTTGGCAATTCCGACCACCTATTCGGTCCCAGTCCTTTAAATAAATAAAATTTTTCATGAAAAACATATTAATAATAATAAACCCAGTGAGTGAATTCCACACATTTTAGACATGCCGCGAGCGCGCGAAGACGGATTCAAACGCGAGAAACAAATTTCAACTTTTCACTTTTCGTTTTTTTTTGCATCTTCTGGGGATTGATAATTGACTCACCTTGCACCTGTTGTTCCTCTTCTCCGTATTGGTAGGACCATTGTGCGAATCCTGATGATCATAATCGACAAATAAAATTAAGTAATTGTTCGCATATCAGTCATTACTTATTGAAAAATCCTGAGGCAGTGAAAGAAGCATTGCTAATATGAACTTTCGTCTCGCAAACAATATCAGACAGTGATCTCGATTTAAAAATTGATTTCACCGGTTATTAGTTACGATCGATCGATGATCAACATTATAAATCGGAAGACGCAGAAAATGACAAAGAAATAAAATACTGTATACTGTATCATCTGTTATTCCGAAATGTTTTAAATTTCCAAATTCCGAAAGAAACTCGCTCAAATGTGTTGACTGATGCTTTTTAGCTAACAAACGGGGAATCAATGTCACCCTTGATGGCATTAAAAAAAATATTATTTCATGCTTGATCTGACGTTTATCTATTTTTCTGGTTGTTATTATAAGTCGTATTGAATAAATATAACGATATTTTGATTTAGAAAGAATGCCTTTAATTATAGTTCACTTGCTGGATTTCGAAAGCAAAATTATTCTCTATATAACATTCATTTGATGCATGGTTAATTTTGATATCCGCCATTTTTTTATCGGATCCTCTTGAGAAGAATTTTTTTTTTGCTCGGCCAGAAATTGATAATTAATTGATCTCGCGTTTTTCCTTTTCTGAGCACAAATTCTCGTTAGATTCGTTATATTAGTATATAAGAATACATTTTCAGTTCGGACGAAAATTCAGATACAACGTTGTTTCAATGAGAAATATTCTTCTGTCGATGGACTGGAACCGGAAATTTTTTTGTCTTAATCGGTCAATCACTGATTATCAGTTTTTAATGGCGTTATTGAAAGGAAAACAAATCAGCAAACTTACCGCAGTGTGCAAACAAAGCAATCGTCAGCACCAGTAACTTGATCATGTTGTTCCTTTCAGATTAATCTGATGATTTTTCTCTGAGTGACTTGTTTTGGGGATATTGCAAGATTATTTTTTTTTCTTTCAAATTCTTATATCGTTTCGCACCAAATAAAGTCCCAATTTTTTTCTTTCTTCTATGTTATCAGATTCCAGATCCCTTTTTCCGTGTTTGAAAAGGTGATGTGTGATGATGACCATCGACATCCCCGGCTTTTTATACTCGTCGTCGATCTGAAAAAATCCCGATAATGCCGGTGCCATTTTGCTTCTCGAATGCCGTCTTCCGGATTTATTGTTCCTACAAATCACCTGAAGGGAATTAACGGGAGCCGTTTCTCATGTGAAGCAGTCTAGAAGGCAGTTCTCTGACAAATGCACCGTTGTCTCTTCTGAACTAGAAAGCCAACGTATCGCTGTAAAAGGTTTTGTAAACATTTTTTGGAGACCAGTTTAATTCGGATACTAAGTGGGGTCTAGTTACTTAACCAGTGGGTCTGAATATTGCATTTAAATTTCAGATTTTTCAAGGCACACAATAGCTCGAAAATATCATAGAACTGGCCTAATTTTGAATTTTAAAATTAACTTGAAACCAAATTTCTCCCATCCTTTGATTTAAAAAAGAAGAAGAAGAAGAAAGTTCCAGTGGATGGAGATTGAAAAAAGGGGGTGGATTGACCATTCATCCCTGGATTATTGGGGGACAGATGTTGCTTCAATATAAGTTAGTGTCAAGCTGGATCAAAAGATAAAAGCGCGTAAATAAAAGACTTAAGGAAACTACATCATTGAGGGCACCCTTGCCTAACATAATCGAAAAAAATGAAAGCCAGCTAATTAGTGTGGCCCTTGTTGATGACTTACACTAGAACAAGTTGTGATTGTTGGCCAATAAAATACTGTATTTTAATTTTCATGTGGAAAATAATATTGCATGTTCAAGTACTTTGATTTTTTTCTTTTTTACGCGTCCAAGTATGGAAAAATGCAGTTTTGGGGTAATTTTTGCGCCTGTCCTCCAGTTTAATAATCCATCTATATTCAGACATTCCAGGCTTTAATGATTTTAAAATGAAACCTGTAGGCAAATTTCTCCTATTCTTTGATTCAAAAAAAGAAAGAAAAGAAGAAGAAGAAAGTCCCAATGGGTGGGGCTTGAAAAAAGGGGGTGGATCAACTCTTCATCCCTGGATCGGAAAAAACCAAATGAAAGCCGGCTTACAGGTGTGACCCGTGTTGACGACTTACACTATAACAAATTGTGTTTGTTTGCCAATAAAATAAAGTTTTCTTTATTTTCATGTAGACAATATTATTGCATATCTAAGTACTCTTTTTTTCTTTTTTTCGTGTCCAAGTATGAAAAAATGCAGTTTTACGGGTATTTGTTTGCGCTTGTCCCCCAGTTTAATAATCCATCTATTCACACATTCCAGGCTTGAATGATTTTAAAATTAAACCTGTAGCCAAAATTCTCCTTTCCTTTTATTAAAAAAAAAGGAAGAAAGTCCCAGTGGGTGGAGCTTGAAAAAACGGGGTGGATCAACTATTTATCCCTGGATCGGAAAAAAAATGAAAGCCGACTCACAGGTGTTAACCCTTGTTTCACAACTTACTCTATAAAAAATTGTGTTTGTTAGCCAATAAAATACTGTATTTTAATTTTCATGCGGAAAATAATATTGCATGTCTAAGTACTCTGTTTTTTCTTCTTTACATGTCCAAGTATGGAAAAATGCAGTTTAATGGAATTTATTTGCACTTGTCCCCCAGTTTAATAATCCATCTGTTCACACATTCCAGGCTTGAATGCTTTTAAAATGAACCTGTAGCCAAATTCCTCCTATCCTTTGATTAAAAAATTATATACTGTATATATAAAAGAAGAAGAAAGTCCCAGTGGGCGGGGCTTTAAAAAATGGGGTAGATCAAGTCGGTATTTTTTTTAAATTTCAATGTTCACGTGGACATTAATACTGTACTGTATTGCATGACTAAGTACTCTTTTTTTTAACATGTCCAAGTACGGAAAAAATGCAGTTTTAAGGGAATTTTTTTGCGCTTGTCCCCCAGTTTAATAATCTGTTTTTTCACACATATCAGGCTTGAATGATTTCAAAATGAAACCTGTAGCCAAATTTCTCCCATCCTTTGATTCAAAAAACGAAAGAAAAAAAGGAATTAAGTCCTAGTGGGTGGGGCTTGAAAAAAAGGGGTGTGGATCAACTCTTTATCCCTGGATCTAAAAAAAAAAATGAAAGCCGGCTTACAGGTGTGACCCTTGTTGACGACTTTCATGGTGGGCGCGGCTCTGGCGTAGGAGGAGCTAAAGATCAGGGGCGCAATCGTCACCGGTGCACCAACAAACTGAGCAGTTTGAATGTCGACCGGCGACTGGCTTTTCCCTCCGCAAGAAGTGTTTGGCAATTCCGACCACCTATTCGGTCCCAGTCCTTTGAAAAAAAAAAAAAAAAACATTTGTCATGAAAAACATAATAATAATGATAATAATAAACCCAGTGAGTGAATTCCACAAATTTAGACATTCCGCAAGCGCGCGAAGACGGATTCAAACGCGAGAAAAAAAGTCAACTTTTCACTTTTTTATTTTTGCATCTTCTGGGGATTGCTAATTGACTCACCTTGCACCTGTTGTTCCTCTTCTCCGTATTGGTAGGACCATTGTGCGGATCCTGATGACCATAATCGAAAAATAGAATTAAGTACTGTAATTGTTCGCGTGTCAGTCAGTTTCGAAAGCCTGAGGTGAAATATTACTGTATATTATTACTCATTGAAAACCCCCGAGGCAGTGAGAGAAACATTGGTAATATGACCAATATTATGTTATTTTTACTACTCATTGAAAAACCCCAAGGCAGTGCAAGAAACATTGCTAATATGACCTTTCGTCTCACAAACAATATCAGACAGTGATCTCGATTTAAAAATTGATTTCACCGGTTATTAGTTGCGATCGATCGATGATCAACATCATAAATCGGAAGACGCAGAAAATGACGAAGAAATATAATACTGTATACTGTATCATCTGTTATTCCGAAATGTTTTAAATTTCCAAATTCCGAAAGAAACTCGCTCAAATGTGTTGACTGATGCTTTTTAGCTAACGAACGGGGAATCAATGTCACCCTTGATGGCATTAAAAAAAATATTATTTCATGCTTGATCTGACGTTTATCTATTTTTCTGGTTGTTATTATAAGTCGTATTGAATAAATATAACGATATTTTGATTTAGAAAGAATGCCTTTAATTATAGTTCACTTGCTGGATTTCGAAAGCAAAATNAGAAAGAATGCCTTTAATTATAGTTCACTTGCTGGATTTCGAAAGCAAAATTATTCTCTATATAACATTCATTTGATGCATGGTTAATTTTGATATCCGCCATTTTTTTATCGGATCCTCTTGAGAATAATTTTTTTTGCTCGGCCAGAAATTGATCATTAATTGATCACGTTTTTTTTTTCTGAGCACAAATTCTCCTTCGATTCGTTATGTCAGAATATAATTAGAAATTTTCAGGTTGGACGAAAATTCAGATGAAACGTTGTTTTAATGAGAAATATTCTTCTGTCGATGGACTGGAACCGGAAATTATATTTGTCTTAATCGGTCAATCACTGATTATCAGTTTTTAATGGCGTTATTGAAAAGAAAACAAATTAGCAAACTTACCGCAGTGTGCAAACAAAGCAATCGTCAGCACCAGTAACTTGATCATGTTGTTCCTTTCAGATTATCTGATGATATTGTCTTTGAGTATTTTGGGAACAGGAATATTGCAAGATATTTTTTCTTTCGAATTCTTATATCGTTTCGCACCAAATAAAGTCCCAATAAAAAAAGAAAGAAGATACAATAGTCTAAGGTCTAGGGAAAAAGGCACAAACTTTTCCACTACACACTACTACTGGTAGCTGTAGGGGCCGAAAAATATGAGCAGCAGCTAGACTTTTTTAGGGCTAGCTGGCGTTTGAGGACGTTCGACACCGCGGTGGGGGCGTCCATCGTCATCATGGGGGCGCCTCGATTTTTTCATTCTTCCCCCCCCGTGTCACATTTTCTAATACTTCCCCCAGCAACAGTGACATATAAAGAAACAACGAAAAATCAGGAAAAAATTCAAGTTTTTCCGCATGCATTTTTCGGAGTAGCCACGTCCTTGCGAGTCGGGGGTTGGAAGATGGTGGCTGTTACAGCAATCGCTTGCTGCTGATGGGGAGACATTTCTTGGCTCATTCCCATGTGATTATTGTGTGTGTGAAAAAACGAACTCGTCAGGCTTTCTCTATTTTTTATTTATTTGTTCATTCCCCCTGCCCTCATGAAAATATATACTGTGTGCATGAAGAGGGAATAAATAATAAAGAAAAATATATAGAATCAGCGAGGAAGATGCAGAGTATAGATGAGTTATTGATGTGGTCTCTGGAACGAAGCGAGGGTAAAAAAAAAAAAATGAAAGATTCAAGCGAAAGTGAAGAGCCACACGATTATGTGATTTTTTTTTCGTTTTCTCCCATGATTATGGCTGTTTTAGAACGAGGCATACCTGGAAAAAAGCCATTGCTCATAATCTGTGTGAAGTTTTCACTGCTGCTATGGGAAGTAAATTGTGGCTTTTGGTGTTGAAGTGAATGATGCTCAACGTTTCATTGTCTGCTGTTGACTCAAAAAAGAAATACCTGTTTTTTTTTTGGAGTGAAAATCAAACTGGGAAATTCGGGAGCCTTTCATTCCTAAGTTCTGAGCCGGCTTGAATGAAAAAATAATGAGAAATATTTCCATTTTGACGAGTTTTAATTCATATAAAGTGACATGACACACACGGTCTCGTCTTATCAACTCTCTTTCGGAAATGGAAAGAATGATTCCCTCATTTTAGTTTGATCGAATCACCAAAAATTATATTGTAGCCAAGTGGCGGAAAAAAACATCATTGTAAATGCTGGGAAACTATTTCTGATGCAATGATTGACCTTTTTTTTTCTAATTGATGAACTGAATATTTTGCATTTCTACTGAATGTTGAATTTTCGTATCCGTAATTGAATGAACGAAAATTGTCGCTTTGTCTTCCTCATCAGGCTCTGAAACAAATTGAAGATGTGGAGTTGCCCAAGTACAAAGGGGACCTCGTCTGCTTGGTCGAAGAGTTCCGTGTCAACGTCCTTAACCTAGCCTATTGTGTTGTTATGTTCTAGTAGGTCGAAGTTGACCTTCTTTTCTTGCTCCTCACACTTTTGGAGTGTAACTCGCTCAAGGCCAAAAGCGAGCTTTGCCAGGACTTGGTGAGCCTGAAAATTCTTTTCAATTATTGTATCCTCTCATTCAAGGGGGAAAAACAAATCTTCTCACAGCAAACATTTGGGGGCCCCTAAAAATATTTTGAAGCAGTATTTTCATGTTTCCTGATTACTATATATATTTTGGAATGTTTTTTTTGTGTGTTAAATTTAGAAATTAATTTTCAAGTGGGATACCTGAACCAATGAGCAAAGTTTCCTCATTATTCAAGATGGTGATTGTGTTGTGGCAGAATAATTTCAATAAGAAGGTGCTTTGATGAAGTAGTAGAGCGTCCGCAGTGCGGACAAAAAAACGAAAAAAAAAAATGAAAAAATGATTGCAGAAGTGGGATTTGAACCCACACCTGCAGAACCACACTGTGACCTGAATGCAGCACCATAGACCGCTTGGCCATCCTGACAACTTAATGTTAATCGATACATTTTCAAGTAGCCAAATTACTTCAAGGTGCAAAAGGCCACAGACACACGTTACACGACGTCCTTATTATTCCCCCCCAGACCCCTGTAGGATCCTACTGGTCGTTCCACCCACTGCGGACGTCAAGGATCACAAAATAACATAAATAAAAATACAGACAACCAGCCTTTTGAAGGCCAGGAACACATATTCTCCATGGGTTTTTTGAAGCTGGGCTTCATTGTCAACAATGAGTTTCCCACCACGTTTCTAATTACATTCTCAACATGCTTGAATTGCAGCTAATGCTTCAACGTGTGAAAATTACCTGAAGGAAACACATACTATTGTAGTTGCAGATTCCATGAGCAAAAAAGGGCAAATAAATCTTGAGTATTCATGGTATGAAATTTTAATATCGATGTGTTGTCCCCAATGCCATGGAAGAAAGAACAATTTTTTCTATTAAACAGGACATTTTTGAACATGGATTTTACACTGTGATGCAGATGATAAATGGATACCAGTAGAACTAAGCAATGATCATCATGCGAAGATTCTTGAGTTATTATTCTCCGGCCCATTTCATTCGAGATGAGGTGTAGATTCCCAGCGCTGAAAATAAATTAATTTTTAGCTGAAAATTAAATATGTCGAACCCCATCTGAAGATCAACGTTTTTTTTCTAAATCCTATGTCTTTTTTGGAGCAAAATTTTCGCTGCATCAATGAAATCATGTCATTGCAAACACCCTGGGTAAAATGCAAAAAAAGCTTCTGCCGTGAACTTCTTGAATTAAAATGCCTTTGAGAATATTTCATCTTCATTCCTGAAAATAAACATGTCCATGTTAAATTCAGTTTTCTAGAAATGATAAAACTGTTTTTGCGAAAGAATATTAAATCTTCGCAGCAGAATAACACGATTCAGCAGACAGAAAAAATACTCGTTATTACCAGAAGTTCAGAGTGCATCAATTTTTTCGTCAAGCTATTATATATTTTTAAAATTGAAAATGTGTCCTGAATTTCATGTTTTCTTTAAAAAATTCGGGAAGAATTAAAGACATTTTGATAATCGTAACGACAGCTGGGGGCAAAAAATACTCAAAACAATCGATGCAATGTTCTGAATCTTTCAAACGATTTTCTGTCCTGGATATTCCTCCAGAAAAAGTGAAAAATCGTTGGGTCACAATTTCTTCGTAACGCAATTTCCTTTTTATATCATGTTCCAGC